ATGAAATCTGTTTGAACTCGTCATGAAAGAAGATGTTGCTGCACTCTAAAAAACTGAAGTGTTGAATTTACTCAACAAAGTCATGTCAGCTGGCTCCACTACGTAAATTGATCAAAGAAAATATTACTCAACCTAGCTTAGAGTAACCAGTTTGGTTCACTTTATTTCTTAGAGAGTGTGTAAAATACTTTTACTCTTACTTTCCTAATTTTTGTGACCAGTTTTATGACTTTTACTTGAGTAGTTTTCTCATCAGTGAAAAGTATTTTTACCAAAGTCATTTTCTGTTCATGTAATTTTACTTTCATTTAGTTATTTTTTTCAAGTACTCTAAAGACCTCTGTTCAGCATATAATATAATTAATTATATTGGTGCCTTTTAGGTATATTTATTTATTTATTTATTGGTCCATTTATACGGTATATTTCTGCTTTTATTTCTAATTATGTCAGTTTTGGTCCTCCATACTGCAGAACTGGGAAGAGTTAATCCAATGACTCAGGTGTGTTGGAGCAGGTAAAAAAAGTAAAACATGTGGAACTGCAGCACTTGAGGACCAGGATTGCCCACCCCTGCCCTAAACCTAACCCAGAGGTTCTCAAACTGGTGTCCCAGGACCCCYAGGGGTCCGCGAGAGGTATCTTGGGGGTCCTCAAAATATTTCACTAAATTGTTAATGTAGTTTTTATTTTTAAAAATGCACGGAGAACAATGAACTAATAAAACAAACATAATAATCTTAATAAAAACACATATTCCCATGGCATTTAGGGGTTGAAATGACAATAAATTATCTCTTGAACCTTGCGGGGACCTTCCAATGACTTCCATTCATTTTCTTTGGACTTTATATCCTAACCCTGACCATACACCCTACAATTAACCTCACAGGTTAACCTGACCCTAAGACTAACCTAAACCTTGGTCCTAAACCTAAACCCACACACGTAATTTGCGTTTGGACCCGTGGGGTCCCCACGATTCACTTCGTTCCCCATGAGGCTGCTTTTTTTGGAAAAATTTTCCCCACGTTTCCCGTCCACACACACACACACACACACACACACACACACACACACACAC